AACTACCATTTAGATAACCAAAATGAGTAGTTACGATTTTTAAGTGCACTTCACAGCAGGCAGCATTAGGAGTCTTATGTACAAGAAGCAGTAAAAGTCTGTCTGAACCATAAAACAGGAACGTACAGCCAGACATTCCCTGAGCATTAAGTGGAACTGGCCCTTCGCTAAGCCTTAGAAATGTAACTATAGAATTCTACCTTTGCAACGCAAATGAGCAGAAGTAAGTTTTGTCTCCAAGACAAATTAATGTTGTTACTAACTTAAAATGAATATTTATATATTAATTTTAATTAATATATGTATTGCTTCAGCTTATAAAGGCTACAGTACCACAATGAGTTGTTAACTTTAACTGCTGAATCCAGCCTAAGCAGGTTGGCTGGTTTTAGTTGGTCTTCCAGATTGGTCATAGCCACTTCTTTAGCTGGTCAGGGCAGGAGACCAGCTGACCAACCAGCTAAAACCAACTGAACACCATCTTAGCCAGTCTGGGAGAGCAGCTAAAATTATTTCCAGCTTATGCTGGTTTTAGCCAGACCATTTAATTTCTGATTAACCATGATCTTCACACTGATTCTTAAAATCCCAAGAATGATCTTTTACACTTTGAGCGGCATAGGCCTAAGTCATATTTTAATAAGTCTATCACTTATAGCAGGGGTTCTCAGCTCTGGCCCTTGAGGTCCACTTTCCTGCAGAGTTTAGCTCCAACCCAAATCAAACACACTTGAACAAGCTCATCAAGGTCTTCAGGATTGCTATAAAGTTACATTGGCAGGCAAGTTTGATCAAAGTAGGAGCTAAAATTTGCAGGAAAGTGGACCTCAAGGGCCAGAGTTGAGAACCCCTGACTTTAATAAGACTATCACTATATTTAAATAAGTCATATGCTACCGTAAAATAAGGTCAGAGTTGACCATGAAATAATGGCAAGAAAATACTTTACTATTGGGGATGCATGTTGCTTGAGTCCAGTTCACAAACAAATGAGTCAGTTTATATATGTATGCATGTATGTCATGGATCGGAATTGATTGATGAACATCTTGTTTTTATTTGGATCTTTTTTTCTTAAAAAAAAAACGACTCAAAAACTCAAGAGTCATTCATTCTGAATCCTTCATTCACTGAATTTGTCACAGCGGTTTTTGAATCAATAACAAGTTCCCATTACTGCCAGCAATAGTTTAATGTATTATTTTCCCCAAAATATAAGCGAAAATAACATTTTAAGTGAAATAGTATACAGTATGAACGCCTATAGCCCTACTTAAATGAATCAGAATCGCATTGCACTGGGAAATGTTTACCGATAGCCTATTCCAGCCCTAATTCACTTACACTAATTTTGTAATATCAGTAATCACCATCAAATAAGGTTTCTCTCGTTTTAGTTTGTGGCATTTGCCTCGATTAAAGTGTGAAGACGGCAAATCAAATCATGCCAGTGTAACTGAACAATTTATTTAAAGAAAAATGGCAGATAAATGCTTTGCAGTGTCACACTTCATTCCAGCCCATGAAGGAATAATATCCATTTAATACTGACCCCGTTAAGAACACATTAAAAAACATGCTGCTGCTGGCAGAAACATCCAATGTAGGGGAATGCCTAGAATGGGGCATAGTCAATCATAATCGCTTCAATAAAATACATCATACATAACTGTACAAACATTTTGATCTTGGAGAACTGTAAACGGAGGGGTGAAAGATCAGAATGAATTATGATTATGGCATTGCTTCGATTCACAAGTCTGGATGCTTGTGTTTGAGCACTATGAGATAAAGCTTGTCATTTTAATAAAGAATCAATTCCAGTTTTAATTAGTTTCTCTCTTTTCCTCCTGCTCTCCATCTTGATCCGGACATATATCGATTAGCTTCAACAAATCACACAAACTCTCCCAGCGTGATCAATGGACATATCAAGACACAATACTGAAGAAAGGTGTCCAGCACAGAACTGTGCAAATAAAAAAGCTTTTTTTCAGTCTCAAGTTCATCTCAAACAAACTCTCACAAGTGTCCTAAAGGAAGCATGGATCCCAAAGCAAAATAATCAAGAGCTCTTTCAGAACAACAATATAACAAACACATCACGCACACTGCTACATATATCACTGAGTGCTTTTAGGTTCCCACTGAAATTCTTACCCGGATCTGATGCCAGTGGATTGAGTTTTACGTTTCCCTCCATTTCCAGTCTTTCAATCAGTGCGGCCACAGAGGAGACACAGCGCCACCAGATGAAAATGTGAGGAACTGCACTCACACACACACACACACACACACACACACACAATAAGACATTAAAGGGATAGTTCACCCAAAAATGAAAATGTGATGTTTATCTGCTTACCCCCAGGGCATCCAAGATGTAGGTGACTTTGTTTCTTCAGTAGAACACATATGATGATTTTTAACTTTAACCGTTGCAGTCTATCAGTCGTATAATGCATGGCAATGGTAACAAAATCTATGAGAGTAAAAAAAAACATGCACAGACAAATCCAAATTAAACCCTGCTGCTCGTGACGACACATTGATGTCCCAATACACGAAACAATCGGTTTATCCCAGAAACCGAACAGTATTTATATAATTTCTTACCTCTAATATACCTCTAATACATCACTATGTCCAACTGTCTTTGGGCGCATGCACAGCATCCGGTGCGTGAGGTGTGTACGCGCTCCGGCGTAGTTTACGTTAATGGGTGTGTTGATATCCAGCCGAAGAGCAATCAACCATAACTTCAGGTGAGCAGGCTCAGAAGTTGGGAATACGTGGAAAGTCACCACTCCCGAATGAGTTCGCACGAGAGAATGTAATCTTTTAGTTTTAAGTCGGTTTGAACAATCCGGATAAGCTCAAGTAAGTACCATTTTGATTATCCGTCGTATCTACAATGACTGTGCACTGTGTAAACAATGAGTGACATATACGTGTGAGAGATCACTTCCGGCACTTGCGTAAATTACGCCAGAGCGCGTACACACCTCACGCATCGGATGCCGTGCGCACGCCCAAAGACAGTTGGACATAGTGGTGTATTAGAGGTAAAAAATTATATAAATACTGTTCGGTTTCTGGCACAAACCGATCGTTTCGTGTCTTAGGACATCAATGTGTCATCACGAGCTGCAGGGTTTAATTTGGATTTGTCTGTGCATGTTTTTTTTACTCTCATAGATTTTGTTACCATTGCCATGCATTATACGACTGATAGACTGCAACGGTTAAAGTTAAAAATCATCATATGTGTTCTACTGAAGAAACAAAGTCACCTACATCTTGGATGCCCTGGGGGTAAGCAGATAAACATAAAATTTTCATTTTTGGGTGAACTATCCCTTTAATGAGCACAAATCACACAGCCAGAAATATAAATATCAAATATGTACTGTATGATTTATTAATTCAGAGCTGTGAGAAAACATATGAAATGTGTTCCTATTCACAAATGCATACGTGCTTTGAACGTGCTTTAAAAATAAAATAGATCAAAAGTTGAGAAAACATTGTCAAATACTAAAAATGTCAATTCATTTTTAATGGACACCTCAGAGCAGAGCTTTTCTTGGGCCGGCTGTTTAATGGGAAATTGCTTCTGAGGTTCTAATTATATTTCAAATCATGTTCAAATTAGGAATAATGAAAAATCCCTGCAGTTTAAAGAAGAGCAGGAGGATGCAATGACACTCAGAAAACTGTAAATGAAGAAACACAGCAGGACAGCAGCTCAATAACTGTGTGCTTATCCACATGAAATGTAATTTACATTAATTTGACTGTTTTAATCTATTTTTAAACAACTTTATTATTATGCTGCCGATGTCTCCGTCTTGACTTGCTTGATCAACTTCGAGTATTAAAAAGAAACGTGCTGTTCTTTTTTTTGCACATCAGTATAAATAATGAGTTCTTTAAGCATCAGGAGAGAAATAAATAAAAAAATGTTCAGACCTGTTTGCTTGCACATAAACTATCTTGCTTTCTCATTGTGCTTCATCTGAATTAAACTGCAGAGCACCTCAAAAACAGAACACTCTGTTTTGTCCAGTCACTAATTATAAGAGCCGTTTGGGGGAATTGTTTTTTTGGGGTTCATGTGAGAGATGGTTTATGGATAATAGCGGACTTTTATGAGAGAGATGAAAACACAGAGGAACCATTAGGGAGAACTGTAAGTCGGTGAAGAATCTGAAGCTTTCAGCAAAGCTAAATTTATCCATATTATCACAGGAGAAGACTGCTCATATAACTTATAGAGCATTAGAGAACAATCAAGTGTTCTGTCCGTTGAACATTTTATGCTTTAGACATTTTTAGTGCATTAGACTTTTTACACACATTATCTAAAGTTCTGAGAGTTGGGACATTTGGGGTAAAATGTCAAATGAAAAGTAGCTTTAGAATGCTATTAGAATTAACTTTAATTGGATCTTATCAACAAAGAATGTCAGCAGCATATAATAAAGATGGATTTGTTTTTTACAAACATGCAGATGGACTGGAGTCGTGTGTATTGCTTGTAGATTATTGTGATGTTTTCATCAGCTGTTTGGACTCTCATTCTGACGGCACCCATTCACTGCAGAGGATCCATTAGTGACCAAGTGATGTAATGATACATTTTCTTAAAATATTCCTTTAATGACTGCTCATTGCTAATTTTGTTTTATTTAAAAAAAAAAAAAAGAAATATGTATAATATATAAGAATACCTCTATTTTCTAGTAACATGTCTTTATGTAGAGATGTGATAAAGAATAAAAGAAAAAAATGCATTTATTGTATAATTTTAAGTTTATTTGAAAAACACTGAACATGTTCTTGGGAACTTTTCTTACTTTCAAACAATAAAAGTTCTTAAAAAATACAAGATCTAAAAAAAACGTAATATAATTTAAACATTGTTTTTACAGACTCATATCAGCTAAAAGTAAATTACTTTTTTTAAAGGTAGATTGATGTAGATTTTTTTTTGGCAGTAAGATAAGGTAAACACAAATGTTAAAAATAAATTAACATATAATTAACTTTGGAATCAAAAAGTGCATTTTTGGAATAAAAACATCAATAGTTGCATCAGAAGTGGAGTCATTATGAGATATCAGTAACTCACATTGTAAGTGTGTTTTGACAGCACAGATAAACTGCTTTATCATATCATAAATTATGACTACTTTTCTCTGAGTTCTGCAGTACCTATATTTTTTTGTAAATTATTAGATGTTGACAGCCAACTGTGACAGCCTTTTTTATCAAGAGACTTGAGTTCTGAAAGTTACAGTATGTTTTCATAATACAATGAACTCTTTTTTCTCAAAAGATTAGGAAAAATATCCCTGTAAATATATAATAAACCTACTATCCAATTTAAGGCATCAGCAATGTTTGTGTATGTGTGTGAAATGACCTGCAATGGATTTAAAACAACAGACGAGGATATCAGAATATCAGACGAGGAAGAAAGAGAGAGAGATGGACTCTCTCAGGAGGTCAGATGTCAGTCCTTCAGTATTTGTTCTAAAGTTGAGAGAAGGTTCCTCAGTCCATACATGTAGCTCTCATCTGGATTATCGCTGGGAAATACATGAGCAAAATCGATCATCTTCACCTCCACTGCCTCCTCCTGTCCAAACTGCTTCTTATCGCCAATTCCAATTTCCTCATCTTTCTCTTCTACACTTCCTCCACACTTTCCGTTGGCGTTCCTCTCATGCTGAACGTTGTGGCAGTACGGGTGACTGTGTGTTAAACTGCTCTGAAAGCTCAAAGCCTCATGGGAGATGTTAGAGTTGCTCTGTGGCTCTCCCTGCTGATGTTCTGTTCCTGGCTCAGCAGGCTTATGTTTGGATCCATTGACTCTGTGAGGAGAGCCTTCATACACCAGCAACAGAGAGCTGGCATAGAAATGCAGCTGAGTCTGGCTCTCAAACCAGCGGAGAATGCTTTGGATTTTAGAGATGATCAGAGAAACTGCATGCCTCCGTAATTCTTGACCATTATGGAAGAATCTAGTCAGGCCTCAGGGAATAAACATTCACAGATTTCAGTTTTTAGCATTATTATAAACACAGTTCACATTAGTACCAATAGCCTTTTTTTATTTCTGAATTCCAGATTTCCACAGCTCTGATCCTACTCATTCATTCATTCAGTCATTCATTTTCTTTCCTTGATTTTTCCACACCTGGAAATCACAATTTAAAAATAAAAAATGGTATACAATAATAATAATAATAATAATAATAATAATAATAATAATAATATTTATTTTTATTTTATTTTTTTCTTTCCTTGATAAAAAAAACAAATCAATAATAATTATTATTATTAGTAGTAGTATTTTCTTATCTTTTTATTTATTTTATTTAATTTTTTTCTTTCCTTGATTAAAAAAACTAAACAAAATAATGATAAGTAGTAGTAGTAGTAGTAGTAGTATTTTATTTTCTTTTTAATTTATTTAATTTAATTAATTTATTTCCAATTAAGCCTGGAAATTACAATAAAAAAACATAATAATAATGATATTAATACTACTATTACTAGCAACTAGTACTACTACTAATAATATTAATAATGAAGATGGAGCCAACAAAACATTTTAGAGCTTTATAATTTTGACTTTTCAAGATTTTATTAATTTACCATTTCCAGGTCTGGAAAGAAAGAAAGAAAGAAAGAAAGAAAGAAAGAAAGAAAGAAAGAAAGAAAGAAATGTTTCATAACTGTGACATATATATATAGGGATCTCAGTAACAATAATAATAAGTAATAATAATATTAATAATAATGAAGTTGGAGTCACACCATTTTTAATGCTGTCTTTTTCGAGACTGCGTCCATAGAACTGGTCATGAGAAATGTATCTGTCTGAGTCGATCTGGTACACCTGAGGTGAGAAGATGAGATCCATCAGAAACACTGCAATGAAGAGAAACATGAAAGAAACATGAAAACTGATTCAAAACAACAGGCCTGCCTTGAAGTCTAGAAATGAGCCTTAGCTAAATACACCACACAGACAGATATTAGGTAAAACAGTCCAATCTTGATTGTGCCTAGGCCTTAAAATGCTGGCTACATAGGCATCTCACTAGGTTTAGAACAGCTCTGGAGAGACTGGCATGTGATGAACCTCACTGAATGGATCCTTCCACACTACAAAACAAATGAACCAAACTGAAATAACACAGGAACCAAGAGCAACAGAGAGAGAGAGGGGGGAAAGGAAGGAGAGGGTGACAGCAGCTGGCAAAAATTCCCCAGCCCTGAGACACCGAAACCAATTAGGTGCAAAGAAACAAGAACACGCAGAAAGCAGAGAGAGAAGATGATTTACTGAGAGGCTGGGGGATGGAAACAACAGAGGAAAAGAGATGGAGGCATCACACCTTAGTGGAACTTACAAGGCTGCAAAAAACATCAATAGCAAAATGCAACATAGTTTCTTTATCCAAATAATTTGATTGTCTTATAAATTCGGGAATGTTTCCTGGGTTGGTTTGTCTGTCTTTACTGTAAAAAAATGCTGCACAGTCAATCAGAACATGTTTGATTAAAACTGTGTGGAGCGGAGCTATCCAGTGTGACATCATTGACAAAATGTCCTTTCAGCTGTAATTTATCATTGATAATATTTATCATAGTTGTTTTCAGATTAACAGGGCACAGACGTTTTTTATATTTACTTTAAGAATAAATATATTTTCAAAAGTGGTTTTACAAAGATTATTAGCAACAGTGGCAAGGAAAATCTTCCGTACAGTCAAAGCAAATTTCAAGCAAATTTGTATTTTGCAAGGAACATTGTTATTTTAATATCATTTGTCATATTATTATAGTATTTATTCATATTTAGAATTAGATTTTATTTTTATATTTTTATTTTAGTTTAGGTTTTAGTAATTTTGTTATGTGTTTTTGATGGTATACAATAATAATAATAATAATAATAATAATAATAATAATAATAATAATAATATATATATTTTTTTCTTTCCTTGATAAAAAAACAAATCAATAATAATTATTATTAGTAGTAGTAGTATTTTCTTATCTTTTTATTTAATTTTTTTCTTTCCTTGATTAAAAAAACTAAACAAAATAATGATAAGTAGTAGTAGTAGTAGTAGTAGTATTTTATTTTCTTTTTAATTTATTTAATTTAATTAATTTATTTCCAATTAAGCCTGGAAATTACAATAAAAAAACATAATAATAATGATATTAATACTACTATTACTAGCAACTAGTACTACTACTAATAATATTAATAATGAAGATGGAGCCAACAAAACATTTTAGAGCTTTATAATTTTGACTTTTCAAGATTTTATTAATTTACCATTTCCAGATTTTTTTCTTTCCTTGATTAAAAAAACTAAACAAAATAATGATAAGTAGTAGTAGTAGTAGTAGTAGTATTTTATTTTCTTTTTAATTTATTTAATTTAATTAATTTATTTCCAATTAAGCCTGGAAATTACAATAAAAAAACATAATAATAATGATATTAATACTACTATTACTAGCAACTAGTACTACTACTAATAATATTAATAATGAAGATGGAGCCAACTAAACATTTTAGAGCTTTATAATTTTGACTTTTCAAGATTTTATTAATTTACCATTTCCAGGTCTGGAAAGAAAGAAAGAAATGTTTCATAACTGTGACATATATATATAGGGATCTCAGTAACAATAATAATAAGTAATAATAATATTAATAATAATGAAGTTGGAGTCACACCATTTTTAATGCTGTCTTTTTCGAGACTGCGTCCATAGAACTGGTCATGAGAGTCCAAACTGCTTCTTATCGCCAATTCCAATTTCCTCATCTTTCTCTTCTACACTTCCTCCACACTTTCCGTTGGCGTTCCTCTCATGCTGAACGTTGTGGCAGTACGGGTGACTGTGTGTTAAACTGCTCTGAAAGCTCAAAGCCTCATGGGAGATGTTAGAGTTGCTCTGTGGCTCTCCCTGCTGATGTTCTGTTCCTGGCTCAGCAGGCTTATGTTTGGATCCATTGACTCTGTGAGGAGAGCCTTCATACACCAGCAACAGAGAGCTGGCATAGAAATGCAGCTGAGTCTGGCTCTCAAACCAGCGGAGAATGCTTTGGATTTTAGAGATGATCAGAGAAACTGCATGCCTCCGTAATTCTTGACCATTATGGAAGAATCTAGTCAGGCCTCAGGGAATAAACATTCACAGATTTCAGTTTTTAGCATTATTATAAACACAGTTCACATTAGTACCAATAGCCTTTTTTTATTTCTGAATTCCAGATTTCCACAGCTCTGATCCTACTCATTCATTCATTCAGTCATTCATTTTCTTTCCTTGATTTTTCCACACCTGGAAATCACAATTTAAAAATAAAAAATGGTATACAATAATAATAATAATAATAATAATAATAATAATAATAATAATATTTATTTTTATTTTATTTTTTTCTTTCCTTGATAAAAAAAACAAATCAATAATAATTATTATTATTAGTAGTAGTATTTTCTTATCTTTTTATTTATTTTATTTAATTTTTTTCTTTCCTTGATTAAAAAAACTAAACAAAATAATGATAAGTAGTAGTAGTAGTAGTAGTAGTATTTTATTTTCTTTTTAATTTATTTAATTTAATTAATTTATTTCCAATTAAGCCTGGAAATTACAATAAAAAAACATAATAATAATGATATTAATACTACTATTACTAGCAACTAGTACTACTACTAATAATATTAATAATGAAGATGGAGCCAACAAAACATTTTAGAGCTTTATAATTTTGACTTTTCAAGATTTTATTAATTTACCATTTCCAGGTCTGGAAAGAAAGAAAGAAAGAAAGAAAGAAAGAAAGAAAGAAAGAAAGAAAGAAAGAAATGTTTCATAACTGTGACATATATATATATAGGGATCTCAGTAACAATAATAATAAGTAATAATAATATTAATAATAATGAAGTTGGAGTCACACCATTTTTAATGCTGTCTTTTTCGAGACTGCGTCCATAGAACTGGTCATGAGAAATGTATCTGTCTGAGTCGATCTGGTACACCTGAGGTGAGAAGATGAGATCCATCAGAAACACTGCAATGAAGAGAAACATGAAAGAAGCTCTGTTTCAAAACAGCAGGCCTGCGCTGCTGTCTAAAACTGAGCATTAGCTAAATACACCACACAGACAAATATTAGGTAAACATTCGGAGTGTGCCTATGTATGAGGCCATAAAATGCTGTTCTACATAGGCATCTTACTAGGTTTAGAACAGCGCTGGAGAGACTGGCATGCATACAGACTTAAAACTGTGATGAGCCTCACTGAATGGATCCTTCCACACTACAAAACAAATGAACCAAACTGAAATAACACAGGAACCAAGAGCAACAGAGAGAGAGAGGGGGGAAAGGAAGGAGAGGGTGACAGCAGCTGGCAAAAATTCCCCAGCCCTGAGACACCGAAACCAATTAGGTGCAAAGAAACAAGAACACGCAGAAAGCAGAGAGAGAAGATGATTTAACAGAGACTGAACAGAGGAAAAGAGTTGGAGACTTAATGGAACTCACTCGTCAATAATAAAGTAAAGTGCAGCATCATTTCTACAATTTAATTGTATTGAGATGCTTCCTGGGTCGATCTGTCTGTCTTTGCTGTAAGAAAAATGCTGCACAGCAATCAGAACTTGTTTAATTCAATGATTAAGTGAAGCTGTGGGGAGCGACGGAGTGACATTGACAAAATGTCTTTTCAGGTGTAATTTATCATGATTTGTTTCAGATTAACAGAGAACAGATGTTAAAGCGTGCACCACCTACTGGCATTTAGACACAATGTGATTGGCCAGGTCAGGGGTTTCATACTTTTTTGATGCCCTAAATATGACAATCCCATCACGAGGGACCCCTTTCCAAAAATATAAATTCAGAAATATATATTTATACTGTCGTAGTACAACAACCCAAATAAATTATATAAACATCATTAGAAAAACATGTAATTTGTATTTATGTATATACCAGAAGAAAACATTTTCAATTACATAAAAATTTTTATATCACCAACAATTCAATCATCAAGTCAAAGTCAGAGAAAGGCATCAAAGGCAGTTTTACAAAGAATATTGGCAACAGCGGCGAGGAAAACGTCCTGTATTTTGCAAGAAACAGTGTTATTTTAGTATTATATTTTTATAGTATTTATTCATATTTAGGATTGGCTTTTATTTTTATATTTTCAATTTTATTTGAAGTTTTAGTAATTTTGTTATGTGCTTTTGTTATTTTTTATTCTTTTTCTATTTATATTTAGAATTATTTTAGTACTTCACCTTCAACTTATTTGATTTAGTTGCTAAGCAACGTTTTTTTTTTTTTTTTAAGTTTTCCATCTAATGTTTATATGTTATTTCACTTCAGATTTATATCAATTAACGAAAAACTTTTTAAATAGCGAGATAATAATTAAGAGAAATAACTCTTTAAATAATAAAGTTAACGATAACTACAAGACAAGGAAGCAGAGTTTAACTCTTTTTTTTCCATAAAATTATATGCAAAGTTCTTTCTTATAAAATTTGGGATTGTAAATACAATAAAATAATCTCATGATTACCAGTCTTTGGAAAGCATTTTTGAAAAGTACAATTTTGCAAATGTTAAATTTTTACCTTTTAAAGGCATTTTAATAGATATTTCCACAGACCCCACAAAACAAATTCAGTCAATGAGCATAAATTGTCACTGTTTGTATCATGATAAATGCATCTAGATGACAGAATTAATTTGATCTCTCTGTCTCTGCTCATGTGACCTTTTTCACAGCAAGTGCAGCACAATGAAGTGTAGAAAGCAAAAGCAGAGGAGTGTGTGCACTGACCGCTGGTTTCATCACAATCTTATCATCAAATGTCTTATCGGTATTCCTCAGAGGTAATTAACCTAGTGTCTGGATAAGCTCTGAATAATGATCAAGCCTTACAAGACAACAGACGGGGATTTCTGTTGTGCAGCATTGAAACCGAACCTTTAGAGCCCTCACTCGGGGGATCTGAAGCTTAATATTGTGTTTATGAACCCTCACAGTTTGTAATAAGAAAATCAGATACTGAGAGGAGGATACACAGATAAAACAGCAGAAAAACAGGGGATCCTGCATAATGAGGATAAGGAAAGTTAATAAATCACACACACACGATGTCTCACCCTCATGCCCAGTAACAGGAACCCGATCTCTTCCATCAGAGGATACTTGCTAATCTGTTCGTCACGTTTTTCTTGTGATGCAAACGGGTCGTAACTTCTCCTCCCGATCTTCACATCCATGATGCAGGGCCGTAAGAACCTCCTCGTCACATCCTCCAGTTTCAGATACAGCTCTGATGAGAGAAGAAGAGTTCTGAGAGAGTTTTTGTGGACCCAAGTGACAGAATCACAGCCTTTTTTTTTGTTTGTATATTTTTATGCACACTTTTATGTCTTGCAGACAATTGGTTTTCTGTGAAGTACACTGTTGTTGCAAATTCTGCTGATATGTCACCAATCCATGTTATCTATATGGCAAAAATGTAATCTAAATGGCAAAAATGACTGTGATAGCCTTGAAACCATTATGTGAATGTATTGAAAACTAATCTGTAATGTTTTGCATAGCCATCTTTTATTTGTCAGCAAAAATGTGGGGAAATTGTGAGTAAAACATTAATGAAAAACATCACATTTAATGGAAAAAATCTTACTGGTCCCAAAGCTTTGAACAAATATTATATATATATACAAAAATACAATAAAAACAGCAATATTGTGAAATATTATTACAACTTTAAAAAAAAGTTTTTTATTGTAATATATTTTACAATATAATTTATTCCTGTGATGACAAATCTGAATTGTTGCTTAATGTTGTGGATTCTTTTTCCAGGATTATTTGATGAATAGAAATAGTATTTACTGTTACTTTTATAAATTGAATGGATTCATGCTGAATAAAAGTTTTAATTTAGTTTTTTTTTTTTTACTCTTTTAAAAATCATATTGACACCAACTTCTGAACAATATAGTATTTTTAAGTAAAAATGTATATGCAAAATTTTAAAAAGTAACTTAAAAATATAAACATTTCTGATTATTCCTTTGTGGTTGGGCCAGTGAAAATGTTGGCCAGGAAAGTGAAAATCTAAGCTACAGACCCAACTGAATCTTCAGAAAATTATCATTACTCTTCAGTCCGACATTAAAACATAATTAAAAAGCAGTGATGATTTCGTCTGACTGTCTGAATGCTTCACGACTGATTTCTACAATCACACCGAACACTAAAGTTAGTGATGTTTCAGAGGCCAAATGACAGTTTGTCAACTGATAAGACTCAATGACCAGTCAATTCTTTCTGACAAGTTAGTTCTTAGTGCTGTCGGCTGACACAGTGATTTATGGTGTGCCATTACCAGGATGGTCCCATACAAGCACAAGACAGCAGACAGAGAACGGCAGTGTAAAGTCCAATACTGATAAACTGAAAACTCCTTTAAAGTACACAGATTATATACAGACTAAACAAACACATCACCCAAAAGCACATGTACTTTGGACACATGGTAACAGAAAATATGATTATATAAGCATCTGTATGAGCTTCCAAAGAGCATACCACTGCTGGATTACATCCCACACCACATACCAAACCATCTGTCAATTATTAACACATTAGTAACCCTCTAAATTCACCAAACACAGATAACACTAACTAGAGCTGATGACCTTCAAGCTCAACTGCTAAAGAAACCGTTTTAATGAACGTGACTGCTGAGTTCAACCAGGACTGACACAACACGTCATTAGTGCTTTAAAGTCATTGAATCGCATCTGACCTTATTTATTTCCATAATCAGTAATCTTGGTCTTATTATGCATCTGTGCATATTATTTCAAATAAAACAAAGGTTTGCCTTCGTACACACTAAAAAACGCTGGGTTATTTCAACCCAACTTTGGGTCAAATTTGGACTAACCCAACTTTTGGGTTAAAAATTGAATGTAAAAATTTAACCCAACGGTTGGGTTAGTCCATATTTGACCCAAAGTTGGGTTGAAACAACCCAGCATTTTTTAGAGTGTAATCTTATCAGAATGTAACAGCATGCTCCACCCCTGGTGAATATCCTGTTTTATTTTTAAATACATAAGATTATGGAAGTAAAATGGGTTGCAGATGTTATTTCATGTTCACTATCAATTTATATAAACAATACTGGACATTCTCAACTAACGTTTGGCTAACGTTCTCTCAAGGTTCTCTCAGAGTTATGAACAAACATTCTTCCAGTAATGTTAATAGAACACTTGTTCAAAGTTATCTGGCCTTTAATACGATTCTCAAAACATTAGCAGAAAGATGTTATTTATACAGAGTTCATGGAAATTTTTGTTTTCTAAAACGTTTATAAACACTCATCTGACATTTTTTTAAATGTTAATACTTGTTTCAGAACGTTCAGAGAATATTAAAATATCCCATAATGTTTGAAAAATGATAAAAACTGAATATTCCTTAAAGGTGCTGTATGTAGGATTGACACCGAGTGGTTGAACTAGGTATAGGGTATATGTCGAACATCAACTGACCAAACCCGGAAAACAGGTCTCATTGCTTCCGCTTGTCGGAGAATGTGTTAACAGCCGTATTAAATAATAGCGATATCTATGGTCTTTTAAGATAATCAGTTAAACTAGCTAGCTGTTTTTATTGTTGACGTTTTATTCAATTTTTATATCTAAATGTGAAAAGAATTTTAAAAAAAAAAACTTTTAGATATCAGTCCGCATATGTGATGGACATTGGTTAAGATCATCATTGGTATCTACTTTGAAGGCATCTTGAGTAAAACTGCTTCATATTTAACTAAGCATATGCAAAACGCTTGAACCGGAAGCGACGAGACCCGGTTAACAGAATACGGAAGTCTGTTGCGCATAACCCCTATTGCAGTCCAAATTCAAAATATTGGAGAGGGTTTTTTTCACCCGGCCCCTCCTCCTCAGACTTGACGCACACGCAGGTTGCCAGATTGACGACACCAACTGGAACGAGCGCACTTGACGATTAATGAAATGAAATACGCTGTGTTTCCGCAAACTGGCAACCCGAGGTGCCGAAATACAATTGGGTAAACTGGCAGAGGGCGGGTTTCACAAACCAAAACAGAGACCGACATTCCGGCTGCTGGATAGCGCACTACAACCCTAGCATCTCCAGGCACAAAAATAGCGTGGGCAATATATTAAACATCTCAGGTAAGCGTTCGGGTGTTTTAGCTATGTTTTTGTTGCCTCGTTTCTCCTGAGCTCAGAATTGAGTTTGCACATTTTTAGAGAGTGAATGCTAGCTGTTAGCACACTTTCGCATGCTGGCTTTTCAGCGCCGGTACGTTAGGCAATCCTCCCTGAAAGACGCACCGCTGGAAAGTAATGTTTTAAGCTGCTTTTCCGAGTGTTTACAACAACTTAATGCACAGTGTTATCGAGAAAATTCTTTTTGTTCCCTTGTCCAATTGGTGACCATTCTTTCGATTAAATAACCAGTGGATATTAAAAATACGTGGACGTCTGTTGAAACTTATTAGAATTTTATTGCAGTTTATATGCTTTATTAATAATATGCAGTTATTAAACATGTATTTATTACCATTTATTTCTCTAATACTTGTGTGCATTTATTTAATATTTCCCCCATGCTTAAAAGACTCTTATAAGTAAAGCAATAAATCTTACAATTTGTGCGACCGGTGAGGTTCAACTGTTACATTTTAGTTAAGAGAACAGGGCGCGTGACCTTATTATGAAATGTGAAGCATATGTCATTTTGGCTCGCGCTCAACGATTATGATTCATCCCGGTGACTCGAATCTTGTTACGGAAAAGATTTGTTCAGCTGATTCGTTCATTCACTCTTTCTGCATGTCGCGGCGTTATGACTGTAGGTGGCGACAAGTGTGTTTCTTTTTATGTGTTTTTAAAGGATAAGTTTCCTGATAATTTATTCACCCCCCCATGTCATCCAAGATGTTCATGTCTTTCTGTCTTCAGTTGCAAAGAAATTATGGTTTTTGGAGGAAAACATTTCAGGATTTTTCTCCACATAATGGACTTAAATGGTGGCTAAGGGACTGAAGGTCAAATTGCCGTTTCAGTGCAGCTTTAAAGGGCTCTACACGATCCCAGCTGAGGAATAAAGGTCTCTTATCTAGCAAAAAGATCAGTCATTTTCTAAAAAAAAAAGATATACATTTTAATCACAAATAGGGTATATGTCGAACATCAGCTGACCTAACCTGGAAAACAGGTCTCATTGCTTCCGCTTGTCGGAGAATGGGTTAACAGCCGTATTAAATAATAGCGATATCTATGGACTTTTAAGATAATCAGTTAAACTAGCTAGCTGTTTTTATTGTTGACGTTTTATTCAATTTTTATATCTAAATGTGAAAAGAATTTTAAAAAAAAAAACTTTTAGATATCAGTCCGCATATGTGATGGACATTGGTTAAGATCATCATTGGTATCTACTTTGAAGGCATCTTGAGTAAAACTGCTTCATATTTAACTAAGCATATGCAAAACGCTTGAACCGGAAGCGACGAGACCCGGTTAACAGAATACGGAAGTCTGTTGCGCATAACCCCTATTGCAGTCCAAATTCAAAATATTGGAGAGGGTTTTTTTCACCCGGCCCCTCCTCCTCAGACTTGACGCACACGCAGGTTGCCAGATTGACGACACCAACTGGAACGAGCGCACTTGACGATTAATGAAATGAAATACGCTGTGTTTCCGCAAACTGGCAACCCGAGGTGCCGAAATACAATTGGGTAAACTGGCAGAGGGCGGGTTTCACAAACCAAAACAGAGACCGACATTCCGGCCCGGAACGCACATTTTCAAAGGAGAATAACTGACTGTAGCATTGTTTGTCAGATAAACAAGTATGTTAACTTAGCATGTTTCTTAAGTATCTGAAAACACATTATAGTATTTTTATGCTTTAGTAGAGTCAAAAACTTACATACAGCACCTTTAAATGTTCCCATTACCAGGGGGGGGGGAAAAACGTGTAAAACATTTGGAAAACTGCATGTTTTGAACGCCCAAAGAAAATTCCAAAGTAATGTTCCAATAATGTTTGCAAAATTATAAAGCTGAACGTTGTTTAAAACATTTACAGAACTGGATGTTTTGAACATTCAGAGAACATTCAATAGTAATGTTACCATAATGTTTGCAAAATGAATCAACAGAATGTTCCCCTACTGTTTGCATAACCAGGAAATACACATTTTGAATGTCCAGGGAAAATTCAGAAATAACGTTTCATAACGTAATTGGAACGTTAGCAAAGCACTCTTAGAACATCTTTTTGTTTGTTGGGTTGATGTTTTATCTCACCATGTGGTGACTCTCCTGGCCTCCATGTGCCATAGTACTTGGGAAGATGTTGTTGCAGGTCCAGTAGCTTTTTATCTGTGCAGTCTTTAGCAAATACCTGTAAACATGTGAAAAGGAAAACATCCAGAAATAATGTTTTCATTACGTTTTTGTTTGCTGGGTATAATCTTTCATTCGGACACTCTCAAAGAGTGAATATTTAACTGAAAATAAGGAGTGATTATTTGTTGAAAACAATTGTGCTGCGTAATATTTTTGTGGAATTTTTTTGAGGACCCTTTGATGAATAGAAAGTACAAAAGAACTGCATTTTTTAAATAGACATTTCTTGCAACATAATAAATGTCTGTACTGCCAATTTTGATGTAACGTATCCTTGCAGAATAAAAGTATTTTTACTTCATTTTAACGGAAACTTAAAGTTAAAAAGTAGATTTTTGCACTGTGCTTGGGCTTGTAGATGTTTTTTCTGTTATTCAGGCAGTTATTTTGGTTCAGATATTTGTCCCCCCGACATTATTTGCATCGTTGTACAGACTATTGCTCACAGTGGTGTGGATTCATCTTAGTTACCTGTGTGTAGAAGTTCATCTCTCGTGGGCCTCTCGGAGGAGTTTGTAGCTGTTTCAGGATCGTTCCATCAGGATGCTGCAGAACACCTGTGCAATTATAGCGAAGCAAACACTGAAAACCTGCTGACACTTCATCATCAAGACAACTGTAAATATTCGGAGTGTGAAAGATTTTATGGAAGCCAGGAAAACATCTGAAAGAAAACTCAGGAGAGAAAAAAAGTCACATAAATGCATGAGTGTCATTATAAGAATTACATTATATTATAGCTCAGGATTTAATAAATACCTAAAGAGGTTGACAGGATGGACTTTGGATCAATTGAATGCATCCTTGCGGAGTAAAAATATTAATTTCTTTCAAAAAAGAAAAATTGAACTGAAATGTTATGTCCATTTTAAAGCTTGATAGTCACTTGTCATTGTCTTGAAAACATCCATCAAAACTTCTCCTTTTAAGATCAATGCGTTTGGAATGACACGCTATAATACAGAATCTGTGGGCGAACTATTCCTTTAACACAAGAAAAGACCAAGTGCTGCCTGGTGACAATCTGACAGTCCATCAGATAACATCTCACATCTCATTCCTTCTGAAAATCCCCATGACAGAGCCACAGATGACACATGAGAGCTACTACAATAGAGGAAATGCTGTCATCTGACTGTTGGCAAAAGCGACTTAATTTTTCCTTTTCGTAGAAATCAATCACCATGACGATATCCCATGCTAGTGACAAATCCTGTGACCCTTTAAAAAAACATTAATTAGTTCTCTAATATGATATTTTGCCCAACCTAGCAAGCCTGTTAGAAAAACCTGTGTGAAGTCTTCCACGGTTGACAACGGGATTTGCTTTCAGCAAAATGTCCTAATGGAATGTGTGCAGGAATCCTATTGGAATTCCTATCACAATTTGGGAATCAGTAGTACAGGATCATATCGGGATTTCCCCCCTCCCCCCCAAAATGGACTATTGTAATAACCCATAGGATAAAATGTCATATATAGGATTAGGAAAGCAATTTAAACTAAATCTTTTAGGATTTTAAGAGATTCCCTTTTGTAGGCTATTCCAACATTGTTCTAATACAATTCTACAAAAGACTCCTGTGGGAATTTCAGTTTATCCCGGATGCCGTTTTATTCTTATAGTAGGATTGGTAGCAAATTATGCTAGAAGTAGGTCCTGTATAAACTTCTGATAGGTGGTCACCCTAATCCAATCTATCTAAAGATTCATACTTTGGACAAACAAGATAACTAAAGATTCTGACATCCTTCATTGTTCCATAAATCCCATGTAATGCAAATACTGTCAATTTAAACATAAATTATCCAACAAAAAAAAAACACATGAAGAACATCAGAAGCTGAGATGTGTCTTAACTGACCAGTGTTATTGATCCCGCATTTATGTCCGGCCACCTGATGAGAGAAAGGCACACATCCATCCAAGAGCACCTGCCTTACTGACCCATTCTTATTATTCTCTTTTTCCAGGTTGTCCAGCGTTCGAGAAGATGAGTCCATGATTTGCCCATCTGCAGACATGTCCAGCAGCGTCAACTTATCCAACTTTAACAGAAGCTGGCAAAACTTCTGTTAATCATTTTCCATATCTGACAGTTATTCTAAAAGAACATAAGCATGGTCATTAAAAGTCAAAAAGTCTCTTTCGCGCTCCTGGAGCCCCGAGTGTTTTTGTACATTCCCTCGCATATGTGTCTGTAGTTTTAATCTACTCCAGAGCGCGACGCGTAGTTCGGGTTACTGAATGGTTCGTGACGTAAGCACGCAGCTTACCAATCAAAACCGGCGTTCGCAGAGGTTGCGTTCGTGCGCGACGCGTCGTGACGTCACGACGCGTTGCACCAATCCAAGCTGGAGTTCTCACGTTACGTCTGCGCTAACCAGAGGCAAGTTCAAGCTCAAACCGGTGTGCAACGTTTTGCTACGGTTTCCGTTTTGAACGACATGTTTCCTGGAAACGGTGTGCAACAGGGTTTGAGATGCGTTTTCTCTTGTTTGGTGGCTGTGTTAAACATGTCAGCCCAATCAGCAGCAACATGTATATAAACCACGCGGTATTAAAGAGACAGCTCGCACAATGTAATTAACATCCAAATAAATCCACAAGAGTAAGTATATTGTTTGCACATGTTTATTTACATTAAAGGCAAAATAACTAAAATAATAAGAGCACACGTAGATCTGGAAGTTCTTTAAGTCTGTCTAAATATAATTTAGTAATTTCAATGTCTTCTGGTCCATATCCTTTCCTTATGAAGGTGTGCTAGACACTGATTAATGTAACAAAAATACTATACATATTTATATATTTTGCTATTGTATTGTGGAGTGACACTTTCATAAACTTTTCTATACTCCTCTGATTATATAATGGTAAATATTACAATATCATAGCACAACAACAGTGATCAGCAATAATGATAAGCCGAATACTCGCAATAAAAATAATAAGGTCATATAGATCATAACACAGTCTCGGAGGTAAGAAGTGGATTATCCTTCACCTGAAATGCGAGGCAAATGTTGGATCACAATAATTAGGAACCACAGTTTCCACAAATCTCTTTACTCTATTGGGATGTTCTCTTTTATTCTGGACTGCAAGGGCAGTGACTGTAACATCGAGCGTATTTTGCAGTATTAAACACGTATTTATACCGATTTCATCAGGCTTCGAAAATTCTTCAAAATAACACAAAGAATGGCCTTCTCAGCTGCCGTAGTTGCAACTCTTGCCTCATCAGAACAGAGTGTTCAACGCACCAACATTTCCGTTTAAAAAACGTTTTGCAACGTTTTGTCGGGGCTGAACGCAGCCCACATTTAATTGTAGTTGTTACTTTTATAATTCCGACTGGTTTTAACAAAACAAGGCACACTTGAAACTCTGCTTTTAAATGACTTAAAGTCACTGCTCAGCAAGAATTAGGGTACATTCATTATTTTATTCAACATTTTATTCAAGCGACACAAACTGTGAAATTGTGAGCTGTTCCATAATTAAAGTGTGACACTGAATGTTGAGCTTGGGCGAATCGACCTCTCACAAAATCAGTTTGAAACCGTTTATTTAACATCACACTTTTACAATGTACTTTTCTGAGAGAGAAAACACAATAATTTCACAGAAAAGACAAGGTCATCAAAACATGATTTTGCTCCATGTAACATTTTGTTCTGTTATATAAATAGATTCTCGCCTTCCACAAGTGCATCTATCTGAATGGCAAGAGGCAAAATCCTCCAAAGTAGATTTTAAATGACAAAACGGAACCTGTCAGATTCTGTGACTATGATTCAAAATATATAGATATAGAAGAATGCCCCTTTAAATATGTTTAATGTCAGTGATCAGTTAAGGTCACATGTGAAGTTTAATACATGGAAAGAAAACATGAGAAGATGGCCATTTGGTTTTCATAATCATATTCATCTCCTACAACATACAAGATTCAGTTCAAATTCAGACGCGTTTCTTCAATTCAAGTTTTTGTCTCTATTCGATCAATAATATGACCAGAAGCATATCCCATAAAGTCTAAGAAGATAACAATTGAAAACCGATATGTATTGCTCACACATTTAATCCCATCAGCCCTGAGCAAAACGGAACCTGTCAGATTCTGTGACTATGATTCAAAATATATAGATATAGAAGAATGCCCCTTTAAATATGTTTAATGTCAGTGATCAGTTAAGGTCACATGTGAAGTTTAATACATGGAAAGAAAACATGAGAAGATGGCCATTTGGTTTTCATAATCATATTCATCTCCTACAACATACAAGATTCAGTTCAAATTCAGACTAACGCGTTTCTTCAATTCAAGTTTTTGTCTCTATTCGATCAATAATATGACCAGAAGCATATCCCATAAAGTCTAAGAAGATAACAATTGAAAACCGATATGTATTGCTCACACATTTAATCCCATCAGCCCTGACCACACATGTAAAGCGAAGACACACTAATCTCTATCGCTGAGAACGGACTGTCATGAACGGTGGCTCAGGCCTCCTTGCGTTTTATGATCAGAGGACCAACGTTGTCTCCCGTTTCCTGATTGTGTTTAGCATGTGCGCCATCACAGTATGGAATAGTACAAAATCACAGTGTCCACAAAAATATTAATCAGGTGTTTTGAACATTAATAATAAGAAGAAATGTCTGTTGAGCAGCAAATCAGTATATTAGAATGATTTCTGAAGGATCATGTGACACTGAAGACTGGAGTAATGATGCTGAAAATTCAGTTTTGATCACAGGAATAAATTACATTTTAAAATATATTCAAATAGAACACAGCTATTGTAAATTGAAATAATATTTTACAATATTACTGTTTTACTGTATTTTTCATCAAATAAAGGCAGCCTTGGTGATCATAAGAAACATCTTTCAAAAACACGACAAAATCTTATTGATGCTCAACTTCTCTTTTCTTTGGATGAAATGGATATTTTTCCCTTCTGCTACCTTTAAGATCACTGTTCTAAATAGCCACTAGAGATGTCCCCAGGACCTCAGAACAATAATAGTCACATGGAATTTGGCTAAAAAATTTCAGGAACTGAAAACCCACAAGCAAAGATGACGACTGCTTCCAAAATAACATATTTGGACATACTATTGTTCACATACAGGTTTTTTTACCTACTATATAGGGGAGAGCGGGGCCCAAAGTAACACTTTTTGACTTTCTCAGTTTGTGTAAATCCACATGGGGTTCAGAATATATATTTTTTTATCCACAGTAATTTTACACGTGTCAAATATGTCGCCATGTTTCAGGATTACAGTGTATACGTTTTTCTTTATTTACCCTAAAAAAATGGAAGTGAAATGTGACAACATGCCCCGTAGGTGGGGTAAATTGTAACATCTGAGGGGCACGTTGTAACATGACCAGATATGACAGCTTAAAATCTTATCTGATCGAATGAAAAAAATATACAAGACAATCTAAAATATTTTGTTAATAAAATAAAATAATTTTTTCCAAATAAAATAATGGCGTTTTTTTAAGAATTCAAAATAATCTGATTTTGGATTTTGACAGTGAACACATTGCAACCATGCTTGGGACGGCCCACATAAATGAGCAAAACTGCTTTACATGTCTTGAAATAATCATTTCTAAACCTTAAACATTGACTGTCAGTCTTTATTCACCTGTTTCTCATTGTTTCTCATTCAAATTAAATAATTACGTAAATAGTGTAAATTACATCGCTAATGTCATAGAATAGCACATTGTAACGCAGTGTTACAACGTGCCCCATCTACGCAACTGGCATTTAAAACTGGTTAGTGTCTTCTGCTAGTAATCAAAGCATTTAAAAAACTAGCTAAACTGATAAATAACAGATTGGAGATTAATATAATAGCAGATTTGTCTCATTTTAAATGATTGATAAAAACTCGATCCAGAAAAATGTACTTGAGCTAGAATTTTTATTTTATTATGGTAAAATCCCCATCTGCGCAACTGGCATTTAAAACTGGTTAGTGTCTTCTGCTAGTAATCAAAGCATTTAAAAAACTAGCTAAACTGATAAATAACAGATTGGAGATTAATATAATAGCAGATTTGTCTCATTTTAAATGATTGATAAAAACTCAGATGAAAAATGTACTTGAGCTAGAATTTTTATTTTATTATGGTAAAATAAATGTTCAGTGATATGTTTAAAAGATTTTTGAATTTTGGCACACTTTTTTTCTATATAGTGTTGATATGGTAACTAATAAATACTGTACATTTTGTTATGCTAGCATGTGTGGAAATATTCAAACCAAGTGTGTTACAGCTAACCCCGCGTTACTTTATGCCCCGCGCTCGTATGTAATTTCGGACGCAGCCAACAAGTCACCTATTGCAGGGCCAGGTCAATGGCAGTTGGATCTGCCCCTGCAATACGTGACTAGCAAGCTTTGCATGAGTTAAATGGGAATGTTAACAGACAGGTTCAAGATAAACACCTCCTTGTACCAATCACACCCAACAGTACATGAATTATATGTTCATAATAAACGTTTCTCCTGATTTCATGAGGGTTAGATTCAGACTCTGGCATCTGCAAGGCATTTTATTTGTCAGTTTCTGCAGGAGTAACCGTCCCTACTGCGACATACAAACACTCACTTTTCTGATGCAACGGTTTCTCTAATTTGAGTGAAGTTTCTAGTGTCTCTGAATTTTTCATTAAGCTCTTTCTCACCTTTTTGGATCTCCAGCATCTACAGTACACGGCTTCGTCACCCAGGTCCTCAATGTCGAACGCATGCACCACTTTGAGATTGTCTTTCTGCAGATCAAGGTTGACCTTTGGCTTAACACATTTGCTTTTGCTGAAAAATGTTTTGTAGATGAGGATTCCCACTGCTGCGGCTCCGAATGTCACAGACACTGCAGTGATGATCTCAGCTGAAGGAGGGCAGAAGACTTACCACACAGAGCCTTTTACTCCAATAACATCACAGTCGAAATGTTAGCGATAATCCATGTTAGTTATAAATGACCCATTTTTAGATATGCATGTATAAATTAAAATAATAATTTATGTTATTTAAATATAAAAATAAAAAAATACTTAAAAGAATACCATTATATTAATATTGCTATTATTAATACAGTTACTTAAATTCATTAAATAAAACTAAAGATAATAAATATTTGACTCCAATAACATCACAATGGCAGATCTACTGTTTGAACCATT